ACACCTCGTTATTGGTAACTATGTTGTTTAATAAATTAGCATTCATATTGGCAGTGAGGTCCATTCAATAATTTATGCAATTACCCAATGAATATAACATGTGGCGTATGCTCTCGTTTGAATTAGAATGGACTATTGGCTAAAACCATTACTGTTGTGTTCCTTAATTTAGTTTCTAGTTTAGTCTAGTCTAGTTTGTTTCTAGTTATAGATAATATTGTGTATATAATGCTTATGATTTATGGTTGTTTTGTGATCAATTATTTTAGGGATAATGTGAGTATAATTATAATTATATTATACCATACAGATTTTAATCATTATGTTCTTAGAAGTACGGACGAAGACGGACTGACAACAAATGGGCCAGGAAATCCTTGAGTTGAGACAACGGACTGGAAGACGAAGCGTAGGCAGGCCGCCCAGCTAGGTGGTCTCGCTAGGTGGACCGACAGCATCGCCAGTGTTGCAGGGAGCCAGTTGATGCAGGTGGCGAGTTGTCGTTCGACGTGGAGGACTAAGAGGGAGGCCTTTGTCCTGCTATGGACATCTTTCGGCTGTCGATGATGATGATGATGATGATGATGATGATGATGATGACTCAGAGTTGTTTTGTTCTTCTGATTTAAAAAATAAATATTTCATATACTTATTTGACTTTAGTTATGAATACTATATAGTAAAAGGTAAGTCTGTTAACCGAAAGATAACAAAAGATGTTTCTAATAATGAAAAAAAAAGAAAGAACAAAATAAGATTGAAGTTCCTTCACAAGGAAGTCGTGTAAAAAGAATAAGCTCTGAACTAGACAGGCGGCAACCATAAAATCTGTAAAAGAAGGTCCACTAGACTGCCAGGGCAATGCGATTAGGCTCCACCCGAATTAGCAGTACATTGGAGCTGGAAAAAAATTAAGTCAATTGAGTGCTCAACACTGATCTGCAGCCGACTGCTCGCGTAATGAGATCACGACATCGAATAGGATTTGGGAGAGGAGTATTGTTACACTATTTTTTTTATTTTATTTATAAAATGTAGTCTTTTTCGTCTTATTAATTTTCAATTCAAACGCTGCTGTTATTACTGCCTAGTGATTGTTATAAAAGCCGAATAAGGTACTACTCATTTAATAGAGACCAGGTTATAATAGTGCTCTTTATTAAATCTGAACCACTCAAAAGGTTAAAATTTTGGTTAGCCCTTTTAATAAAGAAGATACTCACGGTCAGAGCCCAACAATAACCGTAAAATTCCTTAAAACCTAGCCAGAGTTATTGTGGTAGAACATTATACCGATTGAACTACGATGCAGTTACTACACTATTCAATTCCAAAGGCCAATACGAAATAGAAAATAACTCGTTCACACAAGAATAACAGTTTAGAATTATTCAGCGCAGCTGCGGTGAACGAGTTCAAGATTTACATCTAAAACTTAAAATAAATAATGTTAACTCAAAGAGAGCCCGTGAATGTCGGACTTAGTGAAAATTCAGTGGAAACTGAAATATAGTGAGTTCCCACACTGTCCCAGTTCCGAGTATAAGCTTCTTGACTGCAACCGCCGTGGAAATGTACGACTGAGGTGGTTTGGACGGATCCGTCTGAGTTTTATAAAATGCAAAAGTGAATTTTATTATGTTTGAGGAAACCTTACCTGAACTGCTGGTAGTGCATAATAAACGTAAAGTATTTAGTGCCGTCAGTGGAATTCACAAGACGTATGTCACATTATTATATGTATGAAGATTTGAAGATTTGATTCATTCGTCCGATTGTCCTATGTTCCGTCACATTCTAGTGCCTACAGGCCTCCTTTGCATAAAAAGGCTCCTCAATCTCCACGCTTGGATAGAGCCTGTCTTCGAAGTTCGATAGGGCTAAGAAATCGTAGATTGAAAGTATTGTCCAGCTTTATTAGAAGACGTTGCTACCAGAATAATTATTTAGGTAATGCAGAATGAATACTTCCTAAATCTTGAAGACGTCGAGGAGAACCTAACGGGTAACCGGGGCTCCGGCTCGACGTGCAGGAGAAGGAACGGAGTGGTTTTTAGTCAGTAAGAGTCTGACACTTTCTCCCACCTCACCCAGGCGGGAGCAGGCATTAAATGATTTTACCCCCTTAAAAAAAATCTTGAAGACAAGTTTGTAATGAATTACAAATTACCAATAAAAAATCATGTGCAATAATACATGATCTGTTTCTTAAACAATAAAAAGACCCACGTTTTGCCTTCCATTGCAAGCACCGTATGTTTCCATACATCTTCAAGGCTTGTGAGTCTGTTTACTCGCATACTATAAGATATTTGCTTCCCAACTTTTGTTGCTTCGTATAGACGCTTGTATTGAAGGTAATATCTTGTTTGCTAGTTTTATTTCAAATAGAAAATGTTTAACATTTATTGAATTTCTATTGTGTTGAGTGTTGTTAGTTGGTGTACTGAGATTTAGGTAAGTGTTCGGGTTTCTTGACGGTATTAGATATTTTCGAGACTTTTGGATGAAGAATAATTCGTATTATATGTAAAACATGTGTTTATACAAATTATTTTTATAATAACCATCGTGAGACATACTAAATTAACTAAAATCGCGAGTTACTCACGTGAATATACTGAGAAAAGCTCTACTAGTTTCGAACCACAGAGGGGTTCTTCCTCATAAGCAGCGTGCGCGGTCGCGGCGATGTCGCTCAGCTCACTGAGTGATCTTTTATCAGTATATTAACGTGAGTAACCCGCGATTTTAATGTATACAAATGAGGTTGAGTTATTATAATTTGTAATCACTTGCTCGCCAACACCATCAATAAAATTATAAAATTTGATAAATATTGCAATTATAAGGTACTCAATTCAAGTTCATACTATTCAGTACAGCCTATAGATAATTGCTAAGTTTTGGTCAAGTAATCAATACAACAACCGTGGTAAAGATCTACTTGATTCCTTAGTTGGTCAAATTACCATTGCACTAGAGGACCAATAATAACCAAAATATGTGTTGTAAGGACACGCATACACTTCAATTAGTACTATGACAAACAAGATTGAAAACCGTTGTCTACCATTATCGATCTTTCTATTCTTTTTCGGGAACAAAGTAAATCTTACACAATTGCTTGCCGAAGAGTGGCTTATAAATCTGAAACACCTTCGCTGGTTTTGATTTATACTAAACAACGCCACCTGCGTTATATTTCGTGAACTACTAGCTATACCCGCAGGCACACTTTGGGTCGATAGAAGATTTTAGCTAGTATTTTGTAGTCTCGAACCAGTGTTTGATAATGTGATAGAAATCAAGATGCGCGCCATCTGTGATATTGTGATAAAACTAACAACAAAGGGCAGGTGACTAAATACCTAATAGACTTGTATTTTAACCTTATGAAAATTCTACTACAGTAAAAAGGAACGGCTGCATGCGCAGTAACCACAAAAATCTTAGTGTGGGGCAACGTTTGAACAAAAAATGTTTTTGGTATTATTAACCCAAATATGAACAGTTTAAATTAGACGAATATAAAACAGTCTATTTTTTGCTATAGCTTATTCTATCAATAGCGATAAATAAGATAAAGATATAGACTAGAAATGAAACACCAATTTTGGGAAGTATAAGTTATATTATAATAAAAGTTTATATAATTAAATTACAGCGTAAATTTTCAGTAGGTACATAATATCTAGCACAGTGTACGAAATACATTTTTCACAATGTGAGCATATTTTATCATGTTAAAGTACAATAGCTTAGAGTATTTAATTATCTTTCCATAGTGAATGATTCAGTATCGGCCATACGTCAATTCTTCCCCTTAATTGAAGTATTTCCCATACGTTTTTAATGAACATGATGTTATTTTTTTATAATTTATATATTTTTCTATACATTTCCCTTATGCCTCTCGCAGTTGTACATAGTTTATTGCAGAACCACTAAATGTACTCACATTTTGTGCGCATTGCATAAAATTTGGTCTAAGCATCAGAGGTGCAATGAAGTAACCTATCAAATAGTTATAGATAATGTACTCTGTGTAAATTTCCCCGTTTTACACATAGATAGAGACTAATGATACTAAAGAACTCAGTAAGTAATGAAATCTTAATTTCGATTCACAACTCTCTCTCATAGAAATGGTTTGAAAAAAAAGCTTTTATAGTTCTTAAAGCTAAAATTTAAAAGTCTTATAGTAGATTTTCGAAAGCGGCATCGAAGCTTCCCACCTTTTTTATTAAAATATCCACCGTTCAAAATTCTGATCGCTCCCACGTGGAGGATGGTCCCCGTAAATAAATATTTAGTTATACGATGCTTATTTTGTAAGCTAAACGTTATTTCTAAGGCAGGGAGTAGAATCTAGCATATGTACTTACATGGGATAGTGAAAAGAAGAAGCCGTTACTTGACTTACCTATTAATAATCGACAATTTAAAACTATCAAACTACAAAATGTTTGCCAAAAAGCTTCCTTTTTATTGCTAAAAAAGCTTACGTAAGTAAACCTAGTTTCATTTAAATCTATGAATTGTTGAACTGTGCACTACATCTATTAAACGTGATCTTATATTGGTTGTGAATGTGTTATTATCTATTACTTTAACATTACTTACTAAGTTTTGTGTTATTAATTTATTTATCTTATTACCAAAATTATAATCATGTGAGTTCAAAATTGTATGTAATTTGAGGCACTTTCCAAGTGGCTGAATTAACGACAGATATAGTGCATTATTATTGCTATAAAATGGATGAATATAAGCCTAAATATTTGTTGAACCATCGGTATAATTATATATCACAAACAATTTAAACGATGGACTGGTTTTTACAGTACTTTTCTCATTTATCTGACACACTGTCTCGGATGTATCTTTACAATCATCACTTACATCATTCCTTAACATAGCTCGCAGAACTTTATCATTCTGGTCTTGTATATCATATTTTTTATCATTCATAACATTTTGATAACGTCATATTCGTTTTACACCTCTGGTGCTCGAATTTCGACGGTGACTGATGTTGGTCCAGGGGTAGTCGGGGATCTGAGAGTTGCCGATCGTAGGGACGTTGCGGAGTGTCCACTACTAGCTCTGGATCCACGTCGAGACCCTGGAAGCACAATTGAAGAAGTAAGACCGACTGTTCTCAAAGAAATCGATGAAGGCAAAGCATGCTTTGGGCATGATTTCGAGAAGGATCGCATGCCGTGAAAGTTCTCTTTGTCTAATGGAGTATCATAATTATGAATGAGAAGCTAGTATATTCCAAGTCAATTAATTTACTTCAGAAAGTTATATTCAGTATTATATGAATAAAATAGTTTTATCTATTGAGTTTAGTAACCTTCTGTTTAAAATAAGTTCTTGAGCTATTGATAGAGAAATATTTATCATGCTTGAAATTCTCAGATATTTTACATTTGCAAAATCCTCGGATGGAGTACTAATGATAATTGATACTCTAAATAGGAATGAAGTTAATGACTAAGTTACAGTTTTGTATAAAATTGTAATTAAAATGGCGACAATTGCTAAGCGTAATATTACATCTATTTGTAGCGGCAATCCAATTCATTCAACAGAGCCAAGAAACAACAAAAATATCTACCTAATAGTAAGATAGCCAGGTAAGGTTTTGTAATATTTTCCCTTAAAAAATGACGTCTGAACGCTAGTCGAACAAGAGAATAGAAAAGTCAGAAATCAGTGTCTATCGACTAGCATTCATGCCATTCGTTTAAAGAGATTTAAAGGATGACAAAATTCCTATAGACCAGTACTGGTACTTTATTCTATAAAATAGGAACTACAGCACACAGAAAATAAAAATGTGTTGTCTATAGGTAATATGCGTGTGTTTATTAAAATATTTTCTGTATTGTTTTGTGTTGACAATTGCTACGATTAGTAATAGTTTTTAGTTGATATATTTTCAACTTTATTAAAATGTTAATGTTTATACATTGTGTAACGGAGTATTGTGTAACACATCAATATAATTATGCTAATTTATGTGAATTCCAATCTACAAGAAAATACAGCCATCAAATTTTAAAATCATTACTAAATCCAGTACTTTTATAATTATGTTTTAAGTAAAGTGTGCAAGTTATATGTGTGCCTACATACTATCTATCTGTATCGAACTTATATTTTGTATCGATCCATACAAATCAAGGTCTTTTAGGCTCAAAATTATATACTCGAAACATCCAGAAAACCATTCATTCGACCTTTTGACAATAGTCTTTGTCGATACTCTTGGTAAGAAAATTGTTATTTAGCATATTTAATTTTAGTATCTAAGTAAGCAGAAATTTCAAACGAATCTGAACTCAAAAGACCTTGGCTCAGTATGTCGATAGAGTTCAAAATTATTCAGCATAACAAGCAAAATGATTTCGTATGTAACCTGAGGGTTTTCGGTGTAGCTGATGACTTTGATGGTGGCGTGCTGTTGATACATGAAATAATCATGATTAGCATTGTCAGTGAACCGGGAAACGGGCAATTTGGTAAAAGGACGTTAGTGACAGAAAGTTTTCATTAAAAAGCAAATCTTATTTGTGGGACTTTGGATACATAATTGAATAGTTAGATTTGTAATGTCAACCTATGATATTTTTCAAATACTTGGGCTACTATTGGTGGTACCTGTATGACCGAGCTTCGCTCGGTGCTTTTTCAGTACATAATTTGTTTTAGATAAAGAATATAGACAAAATTAAAAATTTTAAAAACAAAAAATATATAAATAAAAAACATAAAATATAAAAGAAACATTAGAACCGAGGATTAAATCTAATTAAAGGAGTGACATGCGTGGATGGCATCCGATCTCCCGACTAAAGTATTTTAATGTTATTTGTATCGGCGAAGGTTAATTTCGTATTTCGTATTCTAATACTATTATAGGGGGCGTTTATTCAATGAAAACATTGATAAAACTACTTTTTCTGAAGTGAAACTTAGCTAGATCGATTTATCGCCCCCGAAATTTCAAGAAAATCAATGGTGCCGTTTCCTGGGTCGTTTATATACATACATACGAGATTTGTTCGTTTAAAGGTATTAGAAAATGTGCTTATTTTATAGAGAAGAGTGTAAGACGTATGTATTTAACAATAATTTTAAGTTAAATGTATATAGAACGTGTATTTTTTTCGACAAGTCCACCACTCCGTCTCAAAACCGTTGCAACTCCTATAAGCCAAGATCTACAGTAGATACAACCATGAAAACTCCGGAACATTGAAGTCCGGCGCGTCCCAGGGACATTAATAACTGTCTTGGTTCGCGCAACGAAGTGAATCAGAAGCCATTATAAGAGGAGAAGAAAAAAAACGATAGTTTCTACTTCCCTCGGTGAATAACTGCAGGAGACAGAAAAATTTAACCTAAAGGCACAAAAAGATACTGTACAACTGAGAGAAGCCCAGTCGCCAAGCACCACGGAAATTTGACTAAATACTAAGTGGGTCCTATGTGTGAGCTGTTATACTTGCGTCCTATAATAGGTATGGAACGTGTATGTAATATGCAAGTGTAGTGAGACAAAGTATACTAATGTTAGTGTAATTCATGAACATAATCCAAAAATAAATGTTATTTTGCCCGTTTCCCGTAATTAGTGTACAAAAGGAATTTTCATAAAACACCACATTTAGATTTTTGTAAAACACATATAAATCGAAAATCTATCACATCATAATTTGGGTGCAGTACACAAAATACAGTCTGCTGCAAAAATAAATAGCGAGGCTGGCGTTTGTAGGATGTGCACTAAATAATAATGTACTCAAGCCTCGATAGATATATTTGAATTACTTCTGCAACTTACTGTACTAATAACATTTCAAAAAACACAACATAAAAAAACAGAGACACATTTTTTGAAAAGGAACCACATTTTATTACTGTATTTAACTATAAAGTCATTATATTTCAAACCTTTTTACGTATTATTTTATTTATGATATTTGTTTTTGTTTCCACATTTATCCAGTTTCCAAAGGTCATAACTTTCATTATCTTGAGTAATTTGATTGTTATAATATCGAATAAATTAAGTATGATCATTCAGTCATCAGTATACGACTGAGAAATGAGACGCAATTCAATTTTTGGGAAATTAAAGCTGTTAATCTTATAAATCAACTGAAAATTATCGTTAATCTCTTTATCTATCTCTAGATCTGAATATAAATTTCATTTGTGAATAAAAAGTAGTTCCTCAAGAGTAAGTAAACACATAAATAGGACGGTACACCTACGGTCTAGGGTCTCAGTCATATATTTTGGTCAGGAGTGGATACCTGGACCTGGTGAATGAGGTCTCAGCTCCTGCTGGCTCGCCTGCCTCGATGGGGGGCGAACACTGACGCGAGAACCTCGGCGATCCTAGAATCAAATGAAGAAATGCTCAGTTATAAGTGAAGAATAAACTGAGAAAAGCTCTACTAGTTTTGAACCACAAGTGTAACCCGCGATTTTTAGTTAATTTAATATATCTCACGATAGTTATTATAAAAACATATAAGTGAAGAGTTTGACACGATTTTGTCTGCAAAGAATTGTGACATTAGGCAGGATTTTATTTTAATCGCGGTCTAAGTAAGGATACTGAGAGGAATTATTACTACGGACACCTGCACGACACTAGAAGCATTGCAGGTGCATTGCAGACTTTTTTGAGACTTGGGGATTGGGTATCGGGGTACATACACTGAAGTAACTCTAATACTGTGCAGACTTAGCCGTTAGATTGTATCTTACCTGTGAATGCAATAGCTTGGAGTCTCTCAGCAAGGACACGTTCATGAGTCGAGGGTTGGGCGTGTTGAAGATCGTTCGGTTTTCTCGCCATCTCGCTCTGAAATTATATTTTTACGTTATTTCACTTAGTTAATTACTTGACTCGTTCTTTCTTTTTCTTAAAAGTTAGGGGTCAGTTTATGTCATATGGTTTTGTTTTGAAGTGCCTTACAAATTGACTGCACGGTTGGTGCGGTGGCTGGGCAACCGGCTGCCGTGCAACGTGTCGCGGGTTTCGATTCCCGCACGGAACGACACTTTATTCCACAAATTGCTGTTCCGGGTCTGGGTGTCATGTGTATGTGAGCTTGTACCATAATAAAAAATATTACCGAACCTGAGAAAAATATTGGTCTTCGTCTAATCTAATCAAAATTATTCAAAACCATTGTTGATGTTACCTGCTAAACAGCCGCAGTACCACACAGATGATCACAAACATGAGCGCCATGCCGACTAGGACTCCGATCATAGCTGGATCCAGGGTCCTCGTCGACTCCTCCACCGGCTTCACCGCTGAAAGCATTCAAAAACCAACTATCAATAACCAGAAATCTAAGAAAAAGATTAAGTTATTAGATTTTTATAAAAAAGTATATAATTGTCAGGAATAAAACAGTGCAGAGTTTTTGAAAGAAACAAAATATTCATACATTCAAAATAATTATCTCCAGTTTAAAAACACTTTTTTTCACATTAAACTGATAAGTAATTTTTTATCAAAAGCCTTCGTCAAAACCAAAAATAAAAAATGCTAAAAGCAGTACTAAAGATTTTTTAGTGTTCAAAAAGAAAAAAAAGCAGCAAATAAAATATTGTACTGAATAAAACTAGTCGCTGAAACTTACACGTGCAGATGACAGAGCCATCTACCGTGACCTCGGGTACCATTTCGAACTTGCAAGCACATCGTTCGTTCCTGCATTCTGTCTTAAAGTACACGTCCTCACATTGTTCGTTAAACATGCATGTTTCGTTGATGCTGGCAGCTGGAATAAGGAAATATTTAGTTAGAATTTGTATGAGGTTCTGGGTTTGACGATATTAATTATTAAATGCTTAGAAGCAGCGAAACTCTAAAGTGTGGCATAATTTGGAAATTGTAACAGAAAAATTGTGTACACTCTTTGAGTAACGTCATTATAGACACAATTAAAGAACAATAGGCTGCGGTCACCGGTGTCCTCGCGGTGTTTGACAGTTTAAACAACAGCTTACATAATAGGATTCAATTTACGCCTTTATGCTAAAAACCTAATATCACCGTAAATAATGTACTAGTTGGTATGCTACATTTTATTACAGTAATAAAAATGCTTTAAGGGCAGCGAATTTCAAATATTCCAACATTATAATTTGTAGTTGGACGTCAAATCTACAACAACGCTCGAGAACTTCGTATCTAAATAGAGGCAGCAAAACACCCACACATTACAAATTCAACAGTTTCCCTTTTGGAAGTAAATAACATTTTCAGCATACCGTAAACAAAGTAACCTCTAGTCAACAGTATATCGTTCCCAAAAACTTATTAGGTACTTGGTTTCTAACTTTGTTTAACCTCGTACCTTCAAAATTCATCGCTTTAAAATACATCCGTATAATTTGAAACAGCCTTGATCGAAACTGCGATATCATCTTTTCTCTTAATTGCCTCACAATTCAAAGCTGCTTCATAAATATCTAATGCTGTTGCCAGAGGTGGATTAAAACCTAGAAATCGCTCTAGACAAGCACGCCGTAGACGCCCCTAATTTTTAGCGCCGTCGCTACTTGTCATTACCCTGGGTTTTTGGTTCACCGTGGCTCCGGCTCGAAGTTCAGAAACTAGGTTGTTTTTAGTCAGTAAGATTTTATCTCTTAAAAAAAACCGTCACTTTATGGGCAGTTGGGCACGCGTTTCTGGCAGCGCCCTTCTATAACCTGGCGCCCTGGTTCTGGCTGTTTTATTACATCATCAGTTTTGTAAAATACGCTCAAACGCTTGTTACAATTCTGCCGCATCTTCAACGTGCCGCAGTCATTAACGACCCTCATTATGGTTTTCGTATTTACATTAATTCGAATTTCAATTTCGTAATAGACTTGACTTTTTGGTAAAATTTTTGGTTTTTGGCTTGCGTCCCCGTAATTTACAAACGTTGCTTTACGAAGGTTTATTAGATGTAGATAAGAGTTTGTGTTGTCAAAAATAGTAATGACATTATGCAGGATGTAAATTAATGTCTCTAGTTTTTCCTTTCCTACTACTTTAAGGGAAACTAAACTTATATCAACAGTCTATAAATGCCCACTGCTGAGCAAAGCCTCTTCTCACACGAAGAAGGTTTGAGCATTAATCACCACGCTTGCTCAATGCGGGTTGGCGATTACAAACTTATAATTAGATATTATAAGCCCAGGTTTCCTCACGATGTTTTCCTTCGCCGTTTGTCAGTGGTGTCTAGATAATCTTAGAAAGTACATATAACTCGGAAAAAGTCACATTGGTACTTGCCGTTGGTAGGTTTCGAACCCTCACCCTCATGCATGAGAAGAAGGCGTCTTAAGCCTCCGGGCCTACTAAACTTGATTTTATATTATTCTGTTTTAATATTCTTAATACATACATACGTAATCTACCAAAGATCTTTGTCAAATGATACGACCGGCCCCTATATCCTTTCATAAATAAAGTTTATTGTAAGCCTATTAATTATTATTTGTGTAACAATAAGGTATATTGTTTGTTGTATTCTAAGTCTACTGAGATTATTTTCCATTAATATTTGTGAAAATCCTCGCAGTGATTATTTAACCATATGAAATTGTAGTCTAGAGACTAACCTCGGTCTGCTCATAACCACAAAGGTTACGAGTATGTAGATTTAATTTATCTACATTGGAAGTAATAATTCTAAGTTGACAATGTACTGTGGTTTTGTGTACTTTATCGAGAACCGGGAATTATCTATAGAATCTAATAGAATAAGGCGTTACTTACGGAATTCTATCCTAAACCAACAAATTCGTAAATATTTGGTTTTACTTCATTTTTAGTGTCCTACAGCGGTTACTTAATTAGCCATTTGTTAGTGTAATGCGATTTGTCGAGAAACACAATAGTTTCGTTTTTTGCTGTCTTATAAGGAAATAATCACTAAACGTGTTTAAGATAAGAGTCGCTCTCCTGTACAATAAGACGGACATATACCAGATACCTACGTGTCCATCGTTATATTACGATACGTCAACACCATTCCAATAACAATGTCTTTTAATAAAATTACCCATAGGCACTTCAATAGTAGCTTCAAAACTCAAACGCTCTTGACACAATTGACTTTAATATTATAGAAATATCTTCACTATTCTATAAACTCAAGGACATTGAAACCTAGATATTTAGGCGCGTCTATCTTCAACAAAACGATCTATAAATAAAGGTCTCCCATCAAATTTATTCAATAGGAAACGAAAGCTAAACTCTAAAAGTTACTTTCGGCAAAAGGAAATAAAATCCAGCGGAGATGCTACCCATTCTGAATAAAAGATTCACCCCATCAGCTAATGGAAACTCCATTCATACCTTCCTTGAGCTGGAGTATCATTCAAGATTGATAAATAAAGGTTGCATTTTGATTTCCTTTTTATATTATCCTTTCTTTTCATTATACTCATAATTCATTGTCGTTTTGGTCAAGTGATTGAAAATAGTAATAGAAGTGGCTGATTAACACGTTAGCTGTCGCATGAAAACAGTAGAAGCCAAGTCCTCTTACGTATGTCACCTAATAAGCAAAAGCAACACCAATGTGCTCAAAATTACAATAGAGGACTTCTGTACGGTACTTGATCATTGTGATTGATGCAAAATGAGCGTCACATAAAACACTTCACTTGCAATCACTATGTCGTTTTCAGTTACAAAATATTTTTCTCGTCTACGTATTTTCTGAGTACACCGCAACAATAACAGTTCTAAACACACAGTTTTCCATTGTTTGTCTCCATTCTCATCAGTAAAATACAGCACGTGGATCTAAATGGGAACAAACATCGCTGCTACATGAATATTAAAACATTTCTCTTTGTGTCTTCTTTATGTCAAACGTGATCTGCAAATTTGAAATTGTAATAATGATGTGATTTTACAATAACACGTTTTTTTGTTATAAGACAGTGACCGAGCAGATGGATCACCTGATGGTAAGCAATCGGTGTTGCCCATGGACACCTGGAACACCAGAGGCGTTACAAGTGCGTTACCTGCCTTTTGGGGCTTTTTTTTTAAGTGGGGAAAATCATCGAATGTCTGCTCCCGCCTGGGTGAGGCGGGTCCCTCCCGCCTCACCGTGTCAGACTCTTACTGACTAAAAACCACTCCCGCCTCACCCAGGCGGTAGAAGACATTCGATGATTTTCCCCCTTAAAAATAAAAAAGATCCTCCCATTGACCATAAAAACTAATTGCCAAAATTTAATAAGCAACAAAATGTATGATAATCCATAAAATCATCGAATAGTGTCGCTCGTTAGTTAGCCCACTAAACCATAACAATGGTTTCAGATTAATACCTCATAAATAACATTTAATCACAGATCCGGTTGCCATGGTAACTGGACACGGTCTCCAGGAGCGTGACCCAACTCACTTCACCACTTGTGACTCAGAGCCATTACATGGGAAGTTGAAGACGGATCGATAGTCGTTAATACTATCGGTTTTAGTGCGTAGTCATAATATTATCATCTATTGAAAGTTCTGTTATGAAATTTAGTAATAGGTAAGTACAATTTTGTCTGAATATACAATGTACAAAGTCTTACACAGCGACAGCCTTGTCGTTTTTCTAGTAGATAAAGAAGGTGATTCTGCTGACTTTGAAATATTCTTGTAATATCCTTACTTAGAAAAAATAAGTATTGGTTTTAACTAACAAGTGTCAAGTTTTGACTATAGGAAACCATTTATATAATATAACATCATGCCTTTTACCCCTGAAGGGGTAGGTAGTGGTGCACATTACGGCACTTAAGGCCACTGTACAATGTAACACCCATTTTTCACTATTAATGTTATGAGTCCCATGTACTAGGGGGTGCACCCATTTCATTTACCGGACACATTTCCAGACTCAGTGCTACTTCTGAGATAGTTTTTAAAAACCTTGTAATACATTGCCCGACCCGGGTATCGAACCCGAGACCCTTTGCCCGATTTCTAAAATACGCAAATACGCCTTTCCTTCTTTAGAAAAACCCTGATTTTGTCGCACTAGCGACCACTCGGCCAATGAGGCAGTCTAAATATTATTTATTTATTTATTTATTTATTTATGATTTACCAACATTTGTTTACACCAATACAATTGTCGAGATACAAATGTGAGTTCTTTACAGTAAGTGTAACAAATACTTATAGGTAAATACAGCATTTACAAAATTATTATCTTACATCTAAAACAAACTTGATATTAATTTTTAACAGGAAAAAAAAAAATATTCGGTGCTACTGTGTACCAACTAAAGCAAAACACAAGTGTACCACACAAAACACCTGTATAGGTATATAAAAAACTAAGTATATAAAAACTAATTTTAAACACGAAAACAAGTAATAAAAGGAACAATATAAAAAAAAACAAAAAACAGTAAATTTTTCTCATGCGTGTGGTAACGACTTTTATACACTCGTAGATTTAGACACCATCAGTCAACTCTTTGTTGATAAGTGCTTCAACAGCGCAGACCGGAACCCAACCAACGATGACGTGTGAATATCTACTAAGTCACTGCAGTCGTTCAGCAATCTACTCAGCCTTGGTAATGGAGAATTAGCGCCCAAGACAGTCCTGCGACGAGGTGGATACAGAAGCGCGATACGGTTACGCGGGTATTTGGCAGGCACTCGGTATTTGACTTTTTTCAGAAGGGTTGGGCAATCTATTATGTTATTTATTAATTTATACATGAATAAGCAGTCAGTGATTTCCCTACGACTGCTTAG